GGAAAGAATAGAGGGAAAAGGAATATAGGAAGTAAAGATTATCTATGGTTTTCTCACACCCACATTGAACCAGTTGTATACTAACTACATAGAGATGGGTTAAAGTGCATGTAAAAGACTATGTGGGTACTCATGTAAACTGAAGATGAAATCAAGCTGACACTGACAGAAAGTTTTGTCAACTACAGTGGTAGAAAAGGAGTTAATATTAACGGCACAGAATGTAAAACTGGTTTTAGGCACAAACTATGAAATCCTTCTGAGTTGAAGGTAAGTAAGATAAGAGGGGGAAAAAGACCCTGCATGGGTCTGATGGGAAGACTTTTTAAGTTGCCAGCGTAAGGCAGTAGTGGAAAAGGCAAATGCAATTCCAGCACGTCCTAGTGAGTTATTTTTAGCACAGACAGGGAAGTGGAAAGCATTAATACCATTTTACAAAGCACAGCTAAACCTTCATTTGAAATTCAGAGTACAGTGCTATGTTCAAGAGCGATGAACCAAAATTTCACAAGAGGCACAAAAGAGTCATTAAAATGATTAGAGCAATGAAATATTTACTTTTAACCTGGCTGGATTGCCTCAGACAAAGGTTCAGAAGTGATATAATGCCTTTTTTCAGGAACATATGAGAAGGGTTAACTTTTGAGGGGAATGTAGAGATGGATTTTTAAGGGGAAATGAATGTCTAGGATCCAACAGTCCTGAGTAAATTTAATCTGGAAATTAATGGAAGATTTCTGAGTGCCTTGGAGTACAGCCATGGAATGACCTCCAAAGCAGGTCATTGAGAAGCTAAAGTACTGACATCTCAAGGGACTTCTGAAGAAAGTGGATTAGTTATTTGTATTAGATTATTGTACTAAATCCAGGCTTTGGATTTTGTCCCTTGATTGTAGAAACCAGCCAAGGACTCTCCTTATCATAGGACAAGTTAATATATCAACTTCAAAATGAAAGAAAAAAAACCATACATAATTTCTTTTAAGCATTCAGTACCCAGATTTTTTAGTTCTCCAACAGCACAACTTAATCAATTGAATGCTTTCAGATCTCTGTTGGAAGTGCAGTAATATACCAAGCATTCCTCCAAAATTCTTCAATTGTTGGTGACACAGTGTCCCAAAAATTAGAATTATCTTGTTTTTCAAAACACTGATTGGCTGGAATAGGTTGGATCTATTAGGGGATCCTTATTTACACATGTGACTGTAATAGGACGAACTAACTGAGCTGCACGAAAAAATTCAGCAATGATTGAAAATACTTGATAACAAGTAATAGGTCTGACCATAGAGTGGCACAGGTAATTCTTCAGGAGCATCTGAAATTTTTCTAAAGTCTGATTCATCCATTTTCACCTGAATCTTAGAACATGACATAGAATCATAGAATTTAAGGGCTGGAATGGACCTTACAGATCATCTAGTCCCAACCCCCTGCCCTGGGCAGGGACACCTCCTCACTAGATCAGGTTGCTCAAGGCTCATCCAGCCTGGCCTTGAACACTGCCAGGGTTGGGGCAGCCACCATGTCCCTGGACAACCTGTTCCAATATCTCACCACCCTTAGAGTAAAACACTTTTTTCTCACATCCAACCTGGACTTCCCCTCCTTCTCTTTGAATCCATTACCCCATGTCCTATCACTGCAGCTCCTAACACAGAGTCCCTCTCCAGCTCCTTGTAGCCCCTTCAGAGATTGAAAAGTTGCTCTGAGATCTCCACACAGCCTTCTCTCCTCCAGGCTGAGCCCCAACTTCCTCAGCGTGTCCTCATGCTCCAGCCCTCTGATCAACTTTGTGGCCTCCTCTGGACTTGCTCCAACAGTTCCATGTCCTTCTGATGCTGAGGACCCCAGAACTCTGTGCAGTGTTCCAGGTGTGCCTCAGCAGAGCAGAGTAGAGGAGAAGAATCACCTCTTTTGCCCTGCTGCCCACACTCCTGTGGGTGCAGCCCAGGATTCCATTGTCCTTCTGGGCTGAGCTCACACTTCAATCTTGCTGAGCTTATCATCCACTCTCACTCCCAAGTCTTTCTTCTCACTGCTGCTTTCCATTACTTGCCCATCCAACCTGTAGGTGTGCCTAGAATTGCCATGGCAACTAAATTATGGGATCTGTTTTTCATGTCTCACTAGGAATTTTAACTTCCTAAGATGTCATGTGGTTTCCACCATAAAATACGAAGTCAGTTAGAAGTTTTGGAGCACTGGCTAAACAGGGAACAGAAGCTGAACTGGTCTAGAAAGATAATAATTCCTTATGCACTTCAGATGATCTGGTACAATACTGAGTGCAAGGATGATGACAAAATTCTCCAATGTGCATTTTAAGGATTGTTACAAGTTCGTCAAATATAGCAGTGATTTGTCTACCTTAATTTTCCTGAAAACCTGTATTTTAAAATGAGGTCACTTAATGCAGTTTGGGCTCCTGTGTTAACACCTTAAAAGTCCCAGTGATGAACACAAGATTTTCCGCACACTATTCCAAAGGGACAATAGAAGAATTAGAAAAAATCGACTCAAACTACTAAAGCAATCATCTACTCTGGGATTTTTGGATGAAGGCCAGGAAAACTTCACAAAAAGATGAAAGGTTCCTTCAACATAATTCACATTGCAAAATAATCCCTGCTTGAAGAAATTTCTTGTATGTGAAGCATGTGCTGATTTTTCTGCTTCCAGGTTGAGGTCCTTCCAGCACTTCTTGTTGTTTGCTTTAGAGCAGCCAATCCAAACTCAGGGAATGAACTTGAAGTACCAGCAGCTTACCTTGGCATGACTTGCTGTCTGAGGCAGGAGTGAATCCCATCTCACACTCACAGCGGTAGGAACCAGGCACGTTCAAACACTGCCCGTTTTCACACAGATTAATGTCTTCTGCACACTCATCCACATCTACAAAAGACAGAATAATCTCTCTGAAATTATGCTTCATGAGAAAAAAATACACGTAAAAATATCCTGATGTTCAAAATAATAGCGGTGTTGAGCACTGAACAAAATTGACACGCTGAAGTAAATTGAAATAACGCAGAAAGGCAAACATAATTTCCAGAATGATTCCTTTTACCCTGCCACAATCCCTTACTCCTTATTTTTCATTAGCAGATATAATTTGCTTTAATAATGCAAGATTTTCAGCTTCATTACTACTAGATTTGACAAATAAGTTGGACATGTTGCTTGAAAAGTCAAAACTTTGTCTCCTGGTATATATTGCTATGCTATTTTGATACACAAAAAAACCCAGCATTCAAAAGACAGATATTCCTAAGTGAATCATGCATAAAAATTATTTTAATATTAGTTTTAGAAAATATTCTTTGAGGATTATGAACATCACACTATTGTTTGCACACTACTGGGGATTCTTTGAGTATGCCTCAAAAGAGCTATAAAAGAGCCGAGTGACAAAGGAAGGCATTCACCAGTGCAGACTCAGAAGTATTCATATGCTTATGATTATTCAGAAAAAGTTAGTATACTTTCTTCATTTTATTTGTAAACCCTTAGTATTACACCTGATTTTTTTTTAAAAACCCAGATCTGAGTTAAATACAGGGATGAAAGTTGGTGCTCATTAACCAAAAACTTGAAATACAAAACCAAATAGTATTTGAAAATTCTTATTCTGAAAAAAAATACCCTTACAATACTAACCAGAAAACTTTCTATTTAAGGTGTAAATTAATATTTATTTAAAATTAGCCAGTTAGCTAATAATGAATGCATTCACATCAGTGTCTGGGTTTTTTACTATCATTACAGGCATTCCTTTAAACCTTC